TTTATGATTTCTTTATCTTTGTGTACCTGATTGTATTTGGCATGTTTGAGATTGAAATGATGAAGGCATTTTGTTCTGCTATCCAAACACTTTATCCTTTGTTATCCCTTTGAGCCTTATTATATTTTCTTTCGTATCCCTCTTTCGGAATCAACAACAAAACTTGAGAATCGAACGGGGAAATCAAGTGGGGAAAACAAGAAAAGAAAAGAAAAGAAAAGAAAAGAAAAGTTTTGGAGCCCTCAAATTTCCCCCAAAATAGCTTTATGCTTCCAAAAGCTAATTTGAAATTCAAATAAGAAATCCAGATCTGAAACTTTCTTTGTCATCTTAGAAAAACCAAAAAAAAATATACATAAAGTCGCAAAAATACAAAACCACTGTTATATTGCAGTTCTGTGGATCACTGAATAGTTCTGCCTGAAAATTACTACTGTTTGACTGCTGTAATTCGGAGTCTGTTTTGGTTTGTGATTTCGAGTCAATTTGGAGTGATATTAAGGCTGTTTGGCTTGGTTTTGAATACTGGAGCACATCAACTCTTAAATCTGGCTATGTTGTTGTTGGTTGATGGTTTAGTGATCTGCTGTGGTTGTCGTTTGCTACTGCTAATCTGTTGTTACACTGGTTGTTGCTGATCCTCCCTTTCTCTTCTATTTCATTGCACCTTCAGGTACATGTTCTCAATTCTGACTTGATGTAATCGAAGGGGAAATGTTATAAAGTGTTCGCTCATCTGCTCCTGGAAAGCACGCCTGTTTGGGATATAATATGTTGACAGTTAATTAGATACTAGACATGATTGTTTAATTCAACTCTGACTCGTATTCATTTAAGTGAATTGTTTTGGACTGTTAAATCTGAAATTATGTAGTTGTAATCTAGCATAGCTATGTATGTGCTTTAGTTTAGTATTGTGTTAGCAACAAAAACATAAATCTGAAATGATTTAGATTTATAGTTGATTCTGAAATTAGCATGTGATGTCCATGACAATTGTGACTCCAAGTTGAATATACATTTCTAACTATTGCAGTAGCTAGTATAGGGAACTAGTTAGTAACTACATGCATCGAACAGCAGGATCAAAGCCTTTCGCATATGGGTCTGAAAAATTGGTTTTGGGCACCCGTATCAACCCACTCAGTTCTGTTGTTCTCTGCCATTGCCTTTTGCCTTGTTGTATGGAAGATTCAGTTGAGCTGTCACGCCTCCTTTTTTACTTACACCCCCGAGAGGGGTATAATAAAGGGAGTTATTTCCAACTTGAAGTGACAATCAAAACGGGATTTGTTATTAAGATTCAGAGTCGCCACTTGGGAGATTTATGGTGTCCCAAGTCACCGGTTTGAAATCCCGAATCGAGGAAAAGATTGACTTTGTTTAAAAGTCCGCGAACCAGAAATTCGAGTAAGGAATTCTGTTAACCCGGGAGAAGGTGTTAGGCATTCCCAGGTTCCGTGGTTCTAGCACGGTCGCTCAACTGTCATATTCGGCTTAAATTATCTGATTTTAAACAATTATGAACCTATGTGCAAATTTTAACTTTTAACCGCTTTTATTATTATTAAGAGAATTGCAACGTCATTAAAACACGTCTCGAACCACGTCACATAAATGCACCCGTAATTTTTGACATATTTCAACATCGTTGAGATTTGGATTTGGGTCACATAAATGTGACCCCGATTTTAAGAAGGTAATGTTATTAAAATACGCGCCTAAAGCAACTACGCACTTAATTACTTAATTTTCTCGTACCACTGATATAGAGCTAGCGTGTAACTAAGAGACAAACCCAAAGCAATGCCCAAAATATAATTCACGACACCAAATAAATGCCCAAAGCAATAAAAACATGAGATTAACAAATTGTTCTAGTTCTGCACCCTCCACATGCACAAATAACACATAGAGAAAAAGCAATGCTATTGTCTGATAATAGAATCCACACCCAAGCCAGAAGATAGAAAAGACTTTAAACTCAATTGTTAAGCAGTAGCCTAAAAGACGTGTTTCCTGAAATTAAAGAAATTCATCTACTACTAAATTTGGAGTTAATTTTCTTTCATGGGGAAAATGACTTACATTACAGCTGTATCAACGTTTAATTTTAATATCAATTGTTCGAGTCAACACTTAAAAGCATTATTATCAATCTTCTCTACTTATAAGATTAAAATACTGACCTTTGGTGGAAAAAGGCATTCATTCGTATAGTTCAGCTTCTCATGTCCGATACTAATCGACGCCACACCCAAGTAATAACACGAACTTCAGCTAGTAATTTTAGTTTTCTCAGTTTTGAATCCTCCAATTTATGATTCANCCCAAGAATAGCAATCAACCTTCAAAGACCGCCTTTCCTCTACAATCCGACTCCGAAACAGTGATATCTAGGCATAATTAATTCAACAATATCAATAAAGACTCAATGGCAATTTCTCATAGCCTAGATATGAATTTTCTAGCATTACTCCAAAAATACCAAAATTAGACACCGGGCCCACATGGTCCAAACTCTAGGCTCGGACCAAAACCCGATCACCCATAACCCCACGAGTGCAAATATATAATTTGTTTTAAGATTCGACCCCAAATTGAGGTTGAATCACCCAAAATTCTCAAAACCCTAACTCTACCCAAAACCCATAATTTCTACCTTGATTTCATGTTTTAGGGCTAGGAAATTAGTAATTAGATGAAGAAATAATGAGGGAATGATGTTAAGATTACTTACCCAAATAGTTATGGAGGAAGGAGAGCTTGAATTTCGTCTACGGAGGGTTTAAGAGGAGAGCTCGTGTGAAAAGAATGAAGGAATCCCGTCACTGGTTCTGTTTTTAGGCTTTAAAATAACTGGGCATTTTTGGTCTATGCGATCGCGGGGCAATTGATGCGATCGCATAGAGGAGTGGAATCTTGGCTTCCGCGATCGCAGAACAATTCGTGCGTCCGCATAGAAGAAGGGAAGCCAGGACTTTTGGGTGAAGTGTAAAGTTGTGCGATCGCGTAGAGGTGAGTGCGATCGCATTGAAGAGACTGGTCAGACTATGCGATCGCGGGACAACTTATGCGATTGCGTTGAAGAAATTTGGAAATGCCTGGAGAAGACTCTATGCGATCGCAGGAATGGAATCGCGATCGCAGAGAACAAATTCTCTGAACACCAGAAGCAGAACTTCTGCAACAACTCTAAGGCCAAAAACACCCCGAACCACCTCCAATTCACTCCAGAGCCCTCAGGGCTCCTAACCAATCACACACACTAACTCAGTAACGTCCTACGAACTTACTCGAGCGATCAAATCGCCAAAATAACATCAAAGTCATTGAATCAAGCCTCAAAATCATCATTTTCATTCCAAACTTCATAAACTTCTAACTTTAGATATTTAGGTCCGAAACACATCAAACGACGTCCAATTTCCACCAAACTTCACAGAAAGCGCTTAAACAATATATAAGACTTGTGCCGGGCGTCGGAACCAAAATACGAACCCGATACCACAGTCTTTTAATAAATTTTCATTTCCATTTTCCTTAATAATTTCAGAAAAACAATTTCACAGAAAAATTCATTTCTCGGGCTCTAGACCTCGGAATTCGACTCCGGGCACATGCCCGAGTCCCATATTTTTCTACGGACCTTCCGGGACCGTCCAATCTCGGGTCCGGGTTTTCGTTTTCCAAAAATGTTGACCAAAGTCAACTGTAATCATATAATGTCAAAACTTTTCAAATTTTTCACAAAATTCACATATTTCAACATAAAAGCTTTCCGGCTATGCGCCCGGACTGCGCACGCAAATTGAGGCAAGTAAAAATAAGGTTTTCAGGGCCTCGGAAGCACGGAACGGATGAGGAAACAGGTGATGACCCCTTTGGGTCGTCACACTATTATAAGAATTTGAAAGCTAAGTCCTATTATCCAGGGAGGTCCTGACAACTCCTAATGATTATGAACCTAAGTTATATCTTATAAAGGTATTACCCCTACTACATTTGTTATCTAATAGGTCTTAACTACTCCCCATTATCCAGGAGGGTCCTGACAACTTCTAGTTAAAAAAACAGTTTTAACCTAAGCAGACCTTGTTATCTATATCTTGTTATCTAAGCAGACCTTAAAACTACGTCCCATTATCCAGGAGGGTCCTGAAAACTCATAATTGAATCCTATCTTAAGCATGCAAACTTTGAAACCAACTTATTATGCTAAATTATGCTATTTATGATTGTTTTGAAATTTAAACTAAGTCCCATTTTCCAGGAGGGTCCTGAGAACTCCTAATTGGATCCTACTTCAAACATGCGACTTTGAAACCACTTATATTCCTTGAGGTATCTTTATGCTAAATTATGCTACTCATGATTGTTTTGAAATTTAAACTAAGTCCCATTTTCCAAGAGGGTCCTGAGAATTTATGGTCAAACCTGTTTTGGTGCTTGCTTTTTCCCTAAGGAGGGTTTCTCCGAAACCAACAAAAACTTTCTGCCCCTGTTTTAATCAAAGAAAAATCTTGTCAGTTTAAAATGTGGTGGTTGGTTTGTGGCCTTGAACTTTGAAGGGGATTGCTCCTTCACTCCCCATGATGGCTGACTTCCACTCGAGGACCTTACTTGTTTATGGACTAACCCTTTTCTCTGTCGTCCCCATCACATAAAATTCCTTTTCTCCGTTCAGACCCAATATCTTCTATTTGTTGCGTTGCATGAACTGGTGCCTCCCCAACCTTTGTGTCTCATATGAACCCCAAAGCACGTCTATTGCCCCCCACTCCGTGTATATGATGTTCTTTATTGACTTAACCATTGACCTTGGCCCTAGGTTCTATTGCTCCTTCACTTGTCATGATAACTAATTTCCATTCGAAGACCCTGCTTGTTCCTGGACTAACCACTTCCTTTGTAGACCTTAAATCAGAAAATACCTCTTCTCGTTCAGACCCAGCACCCTCTACTTGTTGCATTGCTCCTGAACTGATATTTGCCAACCTTTGTGTATCACATGAATCCCAAAGCACGACACTTGTCACCCACTCATTGCGTATGTTTTTCTTTCTAAGCCACTGGTCCTGTCCTTGAGGTCTACGGCTCCCTCATTTGCCATGATAACTTTGATTTCTGCTTGGAAGATTTTGTTCGTCACTGGTTTACCACCTTTTGTCAATCCTATCACAGGAAATACCTTTTATCTGTTCACCCCAATCCTTTATCTGTTGTTTTGTTCATGAATTGATATATACCAAGCCTTCGCATTTCACAAGGATCCCAAAGCTTGTTGATTGTTGCCAACTCAGTGTGCTTGCTGTTCTTTCCTAACTTATGACGCTTTAATGTGCTAACCAGATCCCGTTTTGTGCAATTGGAAAGCTGGTGGCAAATTTTGAAGTCATTTCTCACTTGTATTGACCCAATAGACTCAGGAAGAGGAAANTCTCCAGGTGGGTGCCTGATTGCTGAACTTGAAATGTATTCCCTTATTCTCCAGGTGGGCGCCTGATTGCTAAAACTTGAAATGTATTCCCTTGTTCTCCAGGTGGGCGCCTGATTTCAACAAAATAGACAAAAAAGAAGATTTTCTGCCTCAGTTTGGTGGCTGGGCACAGATGTTAGTGTTAAACTGAATTATTCTACCAACTATTATAAGAATTTGAAAGCTAAGTCCTATTATCCAGGGAGGTCCTGACAACTCCTAACAATTACGAACCTAAGTTATATCTTCTAAAGGCATTACTCCCACTATATTTGTTATCTAATAGGTCTTAACTACTCCCCATTATCCAGGAGGGTCCTGACAACTTCTAGTTAAAAAACAGTTTTAACCTAAGCAGACCTTGTTATCTATATCTTGTTATCTAAGCAGACCTTAAAACTACGTCCCATTATCCAGGAGGGTCCTGAAAACTCATAATTGAATCCTATCTTAAGCATGCAAACTTTGAAACCAACTTATTATGCTAAATTATGCTATTTATGATTGTTTTGAAATTTAAACTAAGTCCCATTTTCCAAGAGGGTCCTGAGAACTCCTAATTGGATCCTACTTCAAACATGCGACTTTGAAACCACTTATATTCCTTGAGGTATCTTTATGCTAAATTATGCTACTCATGATTGTTTTGAAATTTAAACTAAGTCTCATTTTCCAGGAGGGTCCTGAGAATTTATGGTTAAACCCGTTTTGGTGCTTGCTTTTTCCCTAAGGAGGGTTTCTCCGAAACCAACGAAAACTTTCTTCCCCTGTTTCAATCAAAGAAAAATCTTGTCAGTTTAAAATGTGGTGGTTGGTTTGTGGCCTTGAACTTTGAGGGGGATTGCTCCTTCACTCCCCATGATGACTGATTTACACTCGAAGACCTTGCCTGTTTATGGACTAACCCCTCTCTCTGTCATCCTCATCACATAAAATACCTTTTCTCTGTTTAGACCCAATATCCTCTATTTGCATTGCATGAACTGGCACCTCCCCAACCTTTGTGTCTCACATGAATCCCAAAGCACGCCCATTGCCCCCACTCCGTGTATATGCTGTTCTTTCTTGACTTAACCACTAGCCTCGGCCTTGAGGTCTGTTGCTCCTTCACTTGTCATGATAACCGATTCCCACTCGAAGACCTTGCTTGTTTATTGACTAACCACTTTCTTTGCTACCCTTGACATAGAGAATATCTCTGATCCATTCACCAAACACCCTCCATCTTGTTTCATTGTTCATGAATTGATATGTGCCAAACCTTTCGTGTTTCACCGAAAATACCTTTGATCCGTTCACCTAACACCCTCCATCTGTTGCATTGTTCATGAATTGATATATACCAAGCCTTTGCATTTCACAAGGATCCCAAAGCTTGTTGATTGTTGCCAACTCAGTGTGCTTGTTGTTCTTTCCTAACTTATGACGCTTTAATGTGCTAACCAGATCCCGTTTTGTGCAATTAGAAAGCTGGTGGCAAATTTTGAAGTCATTTCTCACTTGTGTTGACCCAATAGACTCAGGAAGAGGAAACAAACAAGACAAAAGGGACAGAGTAGATGACAATGGAAAGAGATGATTCCTAACAAGAAAACTACAAAGTAGAAACCTATCGGATGTGGGTACCGACTCTAATGACCTTGTCATGCACCTGTGGCCTATCCTGTTAGGCAAATCTGATGTTCAGCCCCTATTATACCCCCAAACTGTGAAACTGGGCTTCGCTGCTCTGTCGTCTTTCACGATCTTCATCTGGTAATTTCCCATCTGATTCTCAATCCTCATTCGACTTGTGGTGCCCGTAGGTTTTCACCATCAAGCCTCTCTCATTTTGGTCTTTTCT